TATATATCTAACCCCTGGAGTTTCTGAAATTACACTTTTGCCCCCCAAAAATTTCAAAAATTACACTTTGGCCTCAATTTTTTTGCAACTTTTCAAAACACCTCTTTAGTCAAGATGATTATCAATACCGAATTAAGTGTTGGAATTGAAGCACATAATTCACGACGAAAATCACTCCAAGCATCAATGGGTTCGCTTCACACATCAATAGAATATATACATGAAGGTGTAAACAAGTTGACTCCCATGTTTGGAGTTAAGCTACTAAATAAGAACCTTGTGGACAAGATAGATTTTGATTCATCTTCTTCACCCATCAATCATCAACAAATAGTTGAACAAGCTCTACCCTAAGAAGTTCCTCTACAATCGCAAGCTCCAGTTCAATTGAATGATGAGCTAAAATTAAATATCGTTGATGAGCCTAAAAGTTCTCCTCATCATACATCAATTACTTTTGATAAGTCAATTTCAAAAGATGTTCTTACGGAAGAAATTAAAGGAGTTTCAAAGGGTGCCATTACAAATAGAGTTGATATTTTGTCTCTGCTGATTTATATGCTTCTTTTACCTATAATAGTGTATATAGACAAGATTGTGAAAGATGCAATGCATCAAGGGATTGTTTTCTACTATAGAGATCTACAATGTTATTTTCTTGAAACACAAGATTCTTCAGATTTTTTGGAGTCCTTGTGGTCCTCTAACTCTTCGAAGAAGAGTTTATTTTAGTCGAGGATAATTGACCGAGATCAAAAAGGAATTAAATGAAATTAAATTGAAGAATTTAATTTTATTATTTGTTTTAGTATTATTATATTAGTTAGGAAATATTTACTTGACTATGAGTATTAATTAGAGTTTGACTAGGGAATTATTATAGAGTTTTAGTAATATAGGAATTTGAGAGTTTGGTTATAAAACTATTTTAGAATTTTATTAGGATAGTAGTTTTTATTTTGGTAGGAGACTTAGCCTATAAATATAGATGTAAGTTCTATTATTTTCAATAGAGAGATTAAGAATAAAAATTGAGTATTCTCTGCGAAAATTTGTGTTTCTTGACTAATTTCTTGCGAGAATGAAGTAAATCCCTTCCACCACCTCTTTTTTCTTCTTCTATTTATATTTTCTGATTCCTAGTCTTTCCTGTCCTACATCAGTCCTATACTGCCTTTTGTCGTCTTTTCCCATTTCATTCCCTAAGTCATAAAGAGACCGCTCTACCAAAAGTTATCGAACATAGATCAGTCCCTACAAACTATTAAAGCATAAAACCATGCAAAACTTGAGCAGTAAAGGGTGTTACTCAAAGAGGAGTCCGATTGTGACTCAAACTATGTTTCAAAACAAAAAATAGTTTAGAAAAAATTTTCTTTTAAAATCACCTAAGAGTTGTAATCGAATTGCTTCCAATTCCATTTTCATCCTAATCATTTTAAGTTAAATTAACTAAGGGTTCATCTTAGGTATCTAGGTCATTATCTTTATCCTAAACATGAAGGTGCATGCGGAGGTTGAATGATATAACTTTGACACTTAATCTCCTCCCTTCAATAACGATTTCGAATCTTGAACTTGATAGTATCATAACTATGGAATAGATCGAGATTTTACAATAGACTCTATGAAATTTTCCAATTACAAATATGTAACCTTTAATCAAATAGTGGTGAAACCACATAGAATTTGCAAGTCTAAAGACCTAAAAATGTCAAAAATTTTGCTTTCACAGCATAATCATACCTATTGGTTAAGAAAACACAAAAACTGCATTTCCTTGGATGTCCCTACAAATACTTCCAATCCCTCCCTAGCTAAGATTATCAAGAAAGTTATCGTAGAAGCTTAATTCAAGGGCAAATTTCACCGAGACCCGTGTAATATGGCCTACTTACAGGGACAAGCCCTATAGTTTTTGAAATATCACTGCCACCCCTTATCAAATTTTATCTTTAATGGAGTGGACGAAAATTGTATTTTTACCCAAATAACCTTAACATAAATCATTTTCACTTCTCTATCCTACCTTCTTGTGCATACGATTAGCATATATGATTATCTACGTGTTTAAGTATTTATACACACACATAGATACCCTTGGCCAATTTCAAATTCAATTTCTTCAATTTAAAATTTAATTTCATCAAATTAACATCAAAATATCCTTCTATTCCATCAAATTGGCATTCCATTTCATTAATTGAACACCAAATTAACATTCAATTCCATTAAATTAATAATAAATAAACATTTAATTTCATCAAATTAACAATCAATTGAAGAAATATGGGTTTTGGTGGGTGGTGCTAATAGAACATCAAATTAACATTAAATTTTATTAATTTAAAATTTTATTTTATCAAAATTGAGCTTCAATTTCATCAAAATTACATAATTCAATCAAATGAACATTACATTTCATCAATTAAAAATTTAATTTTATCAAAATAATATTTAATTTTATCTAATTAACATTCATTTTATCAAAATATAATTACATTAAATTTTATCAATTTAATATTTAATTTCATCAAACCAATACAAAATTTACCTTAAATTTCAAAAAATTAACATTGAAGTCTATCAAATGAACATTCAATTCCATCAATTAAACATTCAATTGTATCAAATTAATATCCAATTTAAAGTAAATAATATTCAATTTTACCAAATTAACATTAAGTTTTACTATCAAATTAACATTATTTCATCAATTTAAAATTCAATTTAGTCAAAGTAATACCAAATTTACCTTCAATTTCATTAAATTAACATTCAATTCTATCAATTGAACATTTAATTTTATCAGTTTAATATTACATTTCATTCAAATAATATTCCATTTCATCAATTTAATATTCAGTTTCATCAAATTAACATTAAAATGGCCTTCATTTTTATCAAATTGGCATTCAATTTCTTTAACTTAACATTAAACTTTATCAAATTAACACCAAAATAANAAATAATTTTATCAATTTAATATTCAGTTTCATCAAATTAACATTAAAATGGCCTTCATTTTTGTCAAATTGGCATTCAATTTCTTTAACTTAACATTAAACTTTATCAAATTAACACCANATTCAGTTTCATCAAATTAACATTAAAATGGCCTTCATTTTTATCAAATTGGCATTCAATTTCTTTAACTTAACATTAAACTTTATCAAATTAACACCAAAATAATATTCAACTTTCAACTGATGAAAGAGATGTTTGGGTATTGGAGTAATATTTTGCAACTTTATATTTAAAGAACAACATTGTCATTTAAGGAGATATATTTGCTAGAATTATCACTTTTTGGACATATCAGTAATGGTTCTAACGGTAGGGGTAGGATGTAAAAAAAACATATAACCTACAAGAGATGACGGTGGAGATGTCCTTGTTAATAGGCCATTTTTAGGGGGTGGATGCTAGCAAAATTTACCCTTAATTTAAATNGCTCTAACGGTAGGGGTAGGATGTAAAAAAAACATATAACCTACAAGAGATGACGGTGGAGATGTCCTGGTTAATAGGCCATTTTTAGGGGGTGGATGCTAGCAAAATTTACCCTTAATTTAAATTCTTACTTGAAAAAGGGTTTCAAAGTTCCATCAAATCTCCAACTATAGAATCCAAAGACCATCCCTTAAATTATTTTCAATCAAAGCCCATAGTGGAGCCAAAAAAATGAATATATCCCAAAGTTCAACTTGAGAATACTTTTGTTCATGAATCTTCCAAATCCAAATGACCCAAATCCAAAAGATGACAAAAAAGTGACAAATCTCCAAAACCAACCCTAAAGCAACAAATAATAAACACTTTACCCCGTNCCCTTAAATTATTTTCAATCAAAGCCCATAGTGGAGCCCAAAAAATGAATATATCCCAAAGTTCAACTTGAGAATACTTTTGTTCATGAATCTTCCAAATCCAAAAGATGACAAAAAAGTGACAAATCTCCAAAACCAACCCTAAAGCAACAAATAATAAACACTTTACCCCGTCACTTGCAAAAAGAAGCACCACATACAAGAATCTAGCCTTCAAATCCCAAATTGGTCGCCTATACAAATTGCCTACCAAGCTATCAACATGTATAACCCACAAATGTTTGGGCTCTCCCTACCCATACTCGTAGGAACCTTAGAATGATTTTTCCAACAAACTCACTTTCCTTTTACTAATAGGACAAAGATTAGAACCCCATTAACCTTAGCCTCCCAAAATTCCATGTCGAATAAAACTTTTCAAAAAAATTAACTATTTCTTCCTCCATGCACCTTTCATCTCCTATTTCCCATTTATTTATCAAATTCTTCTTCCTACTCTAATTTTCCACCCCGAGGATCAAATTATATTATTATCCTAATCTATAATCCAATTAAACTAAGTTTTTTGTCTCCAAAAAATCTCCTCATTCCACACCCAGTCCTCAACTCATTTCAAAGATTGCCCCTTTCGTTCCTCAATTGGTCATTTAGAGCCCCCACCCTTCATCATATCAACTCCCCATCACAACTAGATCTTTTCGAACCTCATATCAGACCTCCTTGTCCCAAACCTGTAGGCTTTGTTTTACATATTCCAACTGCTTCTTAAACTTAAAACTTTCTCTTCTATACGCCGTACAAACTTGCCACAACATTTTGAAGCTTATCTTAAACAACTGATGTACTAATCCCATATCTCCAAATCTAAAAGGAACTAGACACCACGTAAGGCATTTCAATCTAAAGTGACAGGGCAGTGATCAGATACCAGTTGGACCAGCGCCTTCTGTCTCAAACTATGAAAACACTCCTCCCGCCCTGATGAGACCAAACACCTATTTAATCTAGATCAAACTGGTTTTCTGTAAAATTTGGCTTAGCAAACGTTGCCCTATTCAAGGGTGGATCCCTCATATTAGTCTCGTTGATTAAATCATTCAAGTCTGTTGCGCTTCTAGTCTTCCTCACCTCGTTCAACTTTTTAAAAATGAATCTAATCACACTAAACCCTTAACCCAAGTTCCACTTAATCCTAGACACATTCGGCGCATAGATCCCAGACAACAACCAATCCACTCCATCCTTCATTTTGAAATCCAGCATAAAAGTTGACACTACCTTGACATCCTGTGTTATCACCATGACTTGTCCCAAGAAGGCAAATATGATCCAATCCTTAACCCCAATAACCCCATGGACTACAAACAAGCATACTATCAACTTATTCCTCCTAAATATCTTGCAAAAAACACAACAGTCAGATTTGCTTTGACCACCACCTCCCTAGTATTCCTTCCTTTCCTAGTGTTACCCAAACCTCACATTCCAGCTAAGCGTATTCATTGAGAAACATTATCACTCCTACCATGCCTCCTAAGTCCACTTCCTTCTTTACTCCATATTTCAAATTCATCACCTCCCTCAATCCTCAATCTGTTTCTATGCCTACCACCTGCCCCACAACCAGTTTTCTACCCTATCCCTTTCAAGAGGAACCAATGGCATGGCAGCTCCTTTCTAGAAACAAAACTCTCAAACTAACTCGACTGAACTCACTAAACAACTACTACCCATTCACCCCATTTTCGACATGTTGGTTCTCCTCCTCACATCTCATATGTAGCTTCTCCCCACCCACAGAAACCTCCTTATCAACATAACAGTGAGCAAATTTTCCTTTCAATCCATAATTGCAATAGGAATATTGTTATCTGGAGATTTAACTTCCTTACCCTACCCCCTTCAACAAGAAAATCACATTGTTTGCATTACACCTCAATTCTCCCACCTTAGACATTTTCCTCTCGAGGAACACTATTGAAATTGACAAAGGAGAAGAAAGAAACTGGCCCGACAAATCTACCCATAGAAATCCAGAAAAACCTCCACCTTCCAATTTTTTGACAATTCAAATTCAGATGAATTTAAAGGAATAGGTAATGGCAATTGCAGAGCAGTACCACATGGTCAAAATATACCTGGTGACTCGTTGCATTAGACCTAGCCTCTTTACAACCCTTGCCTCTTCTTCTAAACTCTCAACTTCTTTAAAATCACCTTCATCATCCTAAAATCCAGTGAAACCTTTCGCATCATCCTAACTGATGGGAAGCTGTGATGATCTGTATAGGTGTAGCAATGCTTGTATTCTCTGTGAGAGGACTACCCATGAACTTTTGTTTTGGATCAAGTAACCAAATATTTTCTTTGTTATACAGTTGGTTGTAGTTCCTGCAATTTGTGGTGGAGTGTTTGAAGTCCTACTGATGCAGCACATAAGATATTCAAGTAAAGACAAATTCAAAGATGTGATAAAGTACAACCTCTAAATAGTACCAATTTTGATTTTGCATAGCTGTCCTACATCACCTACATCCCAAAATACAAATCTGAGTGGTGAGGGGAGGTAAAATCAAGGAGAGAGAAAGACGAGAGAAAGAGAAGAAATCAGTTTAGAGGATAGTGCGGGTTGAGAGGTCCTAAATAGCAGCACTCTTCAATTTATTCCAAACCACATGAGGGTTATGATTACTTTTTAACCAAAGTGAAGTGAAAGTGGTACACGCCCAAACGACGAGGGGGTAAATGAAATTTGCCTTATTTAATTTTCCCACGCATGTCTAAAGGAATTTAAACAATAATTATGTGTAACTTCATCAATGTTATCAACAAGAAATCATGCGGAAACTGAGATTATCAAATAAAACAAAGTATACATTGCACACTTACACTGAAGGTAGATAATCCAATTTCTTGCATAAGTCTCCATACAGCATCCGTGTAAGCCACGTAAAGCCTGATAGAATAATAGATGAATAACGTAGACTTGCTTCCAAAAAACATATAAAGAAGTCACACATAAATCAAACAAATAAAAAGGAAGCTAATCTATACCTAGGAAAATGTCTGAAGGTACACAGGATAACAAAGGTATTTACGCATGTAACTATGGACATATGTACCTATGTATGCATGAAACTTAAATTAGACAGAAAATCCACAGCTTAGTTGCCATTTTAAACAGCACCCCAAAGGTAATAGAGATGGAATTGGAACATGAAAGCCCACATGAATTTAGAGTCGGAAAACAAAAAATAGGAATAGAGCTGAGCCCATCTAAAAAATCTAGATTTCTTTCAACCATGGGGTGACATATGAATAGAAATTTACAGTAGTTGTGCAAATTAACAGGTATTACTCATCTCACTGCATTTGTTTGCTTCTTTTATGGATGAAATTTGAAATATATAGTGCCCAATAAAGAAAATAGCTGACGTGTAGCTACAAATTTTATAGATTACCCACGACGAGATGTAAGGATGTCCAAGCAAGAGGTAATATTTAGTGGCCAGCACTTAAATTACACTCTAAACAGCGAGATTCAACATGAAGCAACAAATGCAGTGAGTAATTTTCTTTAACCAAAGTAGATGACCATCCAAGTTAAATGAACCACCACAAAACTTGGTAGAATACACAGGAAGCAACAGCTCAAACTAAGTGCTTCGTTGAGCATCATGATTGTTTGCATTTGATTGCTGACTCTCAAAAGTGTGCTAAAAATTTAGACATTATCTTTCATGGCTTCATTGAACATCTACAATGTTGCCTTGTTTCTCCCATGTTGATAATCACTACACATTGCAATTGACATTGGCATTTAGCCTCGAAAGCCTCGGTTTTGAAGTAACATTATTCTCAGTAATCTAAATTTACACTTTTCACCAAAAACAATCTTGACCACTAAGAAAAACACTGTATTGGGCATTGACCAACCTATCACTTCCATTTGAGTTTTGAGGCTCAAAAGTAGGAGGAAGACTGAAGACAACCCAAAATAAAAGCAAGTCAGAAATGTAGGTCATTGCCTTAACCGGTTGATTGCCAGATATCATAAGATCAACCTGCACAATTAGCCGACAATAAGAGAGGGCCATGAATATATATTATACAGTACATCAAAGAAAAGTATCTCCCACAGACTAGGAAGCACAAACACTTAATTTTGGTCAGAGTGTCAGTGTTGAACATATCTAGGACATGGACAAACTTCAGACACACTTGGACAAGATTTAACACGCCAAAATCAAAATGTGTCGGTTTTTATAACTATTATGTTTTTTTTTTCGAACATGTTACGGACACTCGACCGATATGTTCGAGACAATGTGGACACAATTGATTTTTTTTTTCAAATTTTAAAAACTTTTCAATTAACTTCATAAGTAATTTTTGCAATTAATTTTAAAGAGATATAAGTCAAAGTTATAATAAAAAGAGCTACAATCACTATGGGCATAGGACACCGCTATAAACATGATTTTGGACACAATTACAAAATTAAAAACAATTAATGAAAACCATGGTTATGAAATTGGGGTTTTTTTAAATTTAATGGAAATTAAGGTTTGAGTGCGGGATATTTGTGAAAATTGTAAATTTAGCAATCATTGATTGTTAAAGCAAGGATGTTTATGATGAATATGTATCGGTATATCTGGTATTTTATTTTATGTGGTGATTTCTTCATGTAAAATATTAAGGGGTCATTTGGTAATTGTTTTTATTTTCAGTTTTTTGTTTTTGTTTTCACTTTTTTGGAAAATTAAAAAATGCATTGTGTTTGCTAACATTTCGATATTGTTTTTGTTTTTCTTTTAGTCAGTCTTTGAAAAAAAAATGTTTTTAGAATTAGCAAAATTGAAAATGGGCATCACTGCCAAACACCACCTTGTCGCGATTATTACTACAACTCTTGCCACCACCACCCGCCGCCACCACGAGCTATCCACCGCCACAATTGCCATGCATTACTTTCCATCATAACCCACACTCACCCCCACCACCACCGCCACTCACACTACCACCCCCACCGCCACAACCCCACACCACCATCCTCTGTCATGGCCACCATCATCCCCCCGTTGCCACCACCACCACCACTTGTTGTCATCGCCACCCCATTACCACCACAATCCACCTTTACCACCATTGCCCCCACTATCACTGACCACCCAACCCCTCCACCCACCATTACCCCCCCCCAAAAAAAAAAAAAACCGCCATGCACTACCACCTCGCAACAAAATAAATGTATTTAAAATAAAACAAAAATAGTTATCAAACGTTTTTTATTTTTAATTTTCTCAAAAATGAAAACATAAACAGTTTAAAGTTCTCATTTGTTGTCCCGAAATCTAAAAGTAAAAACGTTATCAAACTAGCCCTAAAATTATAGAAAAAAAATTGAATGATAATTATTAAAATATATCTATTGTATCATATGTTCATAAATATATAAAAAAACCAAATAAATATATTTAGCATATTTCCCATGTGTCTGTCTCCTACATTTTTAAACAATTTCACATCAACATGTTTGTGTCATATAGTATCTCTATCCCATGTTTGTGTTGGTGCCTGTTATCTATAGATAATTTGACTTTACATGAAACAAATGGAAATTACTCAGCCTGTGAAACCACTCTATAGGAGAAACTATAGAACTAACATACTTCATGACCAATACGTTCTCTGCTAATTTTGTCTGCAATGGCAGCCTTCACATCATCGTCACCAGCGGCTTTGATTAGCTCTTCATCTAGTGTGAATCCAAACCTTGCACCTAAAATGACCAACATCATGTAGGAAACATAAATGCAAACAAAAAACATTTCTTTGAGGATAGTTATATTATGGAAATTACATATTGCAAAAATCAGAGAAGGGTTTATGATAGGTGGCAGCAAATCTCAAAGCCCCATTGGATGGGTGTGGGTGTGGGGGTTGGGGTGGGGGTGTGGTGGGGGAATGCAAGAATTTTCAATGATTATTTTCTCTTTAGCCTGTTAAAAAAATTATGTTTTTTCCTCGCGTCTTCATGGACCAAATCAAAAAGGAGATTTCAAAATGGTGACTTTGTCGGATTTGTGGCAAAATTACAAGACGAATCTCCTTTAGCATATCAGTTTCTTCTTATTTGACTTTTTCTTCATTTTGTTGTTGTCATTGAGGATATCGTGTCCTCAATCTTGTATCTCTAATCTCTCTTATTTTATATTTGTATTCTTCTTTTATCAAGATACGGGAGAGAGACTGAAAATCCCAAATTCAACCCCTTTTTTTTGGTGGTAATTTTATTTTCCATGAGAGAAGAAAATAAGGTGCTATGGTACTATGAAATATAGATAGCTCTAACCGCATCACCAACCCCTAATGTAGCTCAACCACTACTACCTTTCTCCAATGAAAGATTGTTTAAGAAAAAACAAACAAATACATCCTTCAAGCCACATATAAAATAATGCTGATATGTACTTATACTAGGTACAACAGAGGAAAGAAAAAGCAACAACACATTTATTGTCAAAAGCTATAACTATCAGGATCAGAGCATCTCACCTGAGAAGGATGAGATTTGGAAAAACAGAAAGTAAACTTAGGGTAGAACCACAAAATGATCGTTTGAAATCTTGAGATTTTATGGTAAGCATTATTTTTTAATAAACAGTGCAATTAGAATACGTAGTTTTAGGGTTTAGAGAAGGAAGAAAAGAGAAGAAAAACCATTGTGAAGAGTAGTGTGTCTTAGGTCACACAACTACACTCCAACTTATATATATAAACACAAAGTACAAGAACATCCTCAAGCTAAAATATAAAGCATAACTAATATTCCCTTCAAGCTGGGGCATAATCTTGCTAGTAAGCCCCTTGGCGAAAACTTTGGTGAATTAGTTCTCTAATTTCACAAAAGACATGCAACTCAAACTCTTATCCAACTTCTCTTTCATAATGTGTTCATCAATTTCAATATGTTTAGTTCTATCATATTCAACTGGATTGTGAGCAATATTAATAGCAATCTTATTATCACAATACAATCTCATAGGCCCATCGATCATGAATTCCTAGCTCTCCCATTAAGGTTTGAAGCCACATAAGCTTACAAATTCCATGAGTCAGTGCTCTATATTCAACCTCATTACTAGACTTAGCTAACACTGCTTGTTTTTTGCTTCGCCAAGTAACAAAGTTTCCTCCTATTAAGTGGCAATAACCCGAAGTAGATCGTCTGTCACCATTGAACCTGCCAAGTTTGTATCCATAAATGTTTCGAACTTCAAGTAACTATGTTTAGAGAATAAAACCCCTTTTTTTGGAGCTGACCGGAGATACCTCAAAATATGATAAACAACCTCAAGATAAGGAGTTTGAGGGATCATGCATAAACTGGCTGACAATGCATAAGGAATATTTGAACAAGCATAAGAGAGATATATCAATCTCTCCCTTAATCTCTGATAACTCTCCTTATCAAATACATCACCAACTCCACTACTTAATCGATGGTTGACTTTAATGGGAGAACCAATAGGTCTATGTCCCAACATGCCTACTTCTTCAAAAAGATCAAGAACATACTTTCTCAAATAGAAAAAAAAATGTCTTTATCTGATCTGGAAACCTCAATCTCAAAAAAATATCCAAATAGATCTAAATCTTTGAGTTCAAACTTTTTAGTCAAGTGGGCTTTAAATTTGGTAGTTGTCTGCACATCATTCCTGCTTATTACTATGTCATCCACATACATAATCAAAACAGTTATCTTATCATTAACCCGATGAACATAGTATGATCAGCATAGCCCTATTTATATCCAAATTTAAGCATGACTTTGGAAAACCCATCAAACCAAGTTTTAGGAGACTGTTTTAGCCCATTAAGAGACTTCTTCAACTTACATACCTTTTCATTAGTTTACTTCGAAAAAAACCTGGTGGAATTTTCATATACACATCCTCTTCTAAATCTTCATGAAGAAAGCATTCTTCACGTCTAATTACTGAAAACTCTAACCCAGATTAGTTGTACATTAAAGAAGGCACGTGTGGAGTTTATCTTTGCCACTGGGGCAAAAGTCTCCAGATAATCAATGTCTTGGACCCCAGTGCCCTTGCTCTGTCTAGAAGAGTAAATAGCGTCCATGTGTCACTTTTTCTCAAGACTTTCATTTCCTCTCCATAACTTCTCTCCACTTAGGATCAATGAGAACTTCTTTCTAACCCTGAGGAATAGATGCAGAAGACAAGGAAGAAACAAAAACACAATAAAANCGTCCATGTGTCACTTTTTCTCAAGACTTTCATTTCCTCTCCATAACTTCTCTCCACTTAGGATCAATGAGAACTTCGTTCTAACCCTGAGGAATAGATGCAGAAGACAAGGAAGAAACAAAAACACAATAAAATGGAGATAAGGAATCATAAGATATAAAGTTAGAGATAGAGTGTTGATTACAAGTTCTAACACCCTTTCTAACTGCATAGGAAGGTCAGACTCATCAACAACAAGATTATCAACAAGAGTAACATCCGAAGGTTCATTAGAAGATAAATCACTAGGTGGTGTCTGAACTAGAGTAAAGAAATTCAATTGACATGGCAGCACATGGGTAGCCCGTACTTGTACCTTTTGACTCCGAGAATAAGTTTTCAAGTTATNGCAGATAAATCACCAGGTGGTGTCTGAACTAGAGTAAAGAAATTCAATTGACATGGCAACACATGGGTAGCCCGTACTTGTACCTTTTGACTCCGAGAATAAGTTTTCAAGTTATCCTTGTCAAAACGAGTACTACATTAACTACTATTGTCACCTCCTTTTTCCTCAATAAGTTGTTGCTCCCCCTTACCAATATTCCAATAAACAAGCAATTGAAGAGGTGTCTGATATACCATCTCTTCACCCACAGTAGTATTCTCCCCCTAAAAAGATGGTTGAAAACTAGGAAAAAATGTCTCAGTTTCACAAAGGGTAATATTCATGCTAACAAACACCTTTTGAATATGAGAATGATAGCATTTATACCCTTTTTAGGTGGAAGAGTAACAAATAAAAACACACCACAAGGCCTTGGGGTCAAGTTTTGCCCGTAGGATCTGTAATCATGTACGAAATAAATGGACCAAAAGATCTTAAGAGGAAGAGAAGAAATGGAATGAATAGAATAAATCCTAGAAGCACTTAATAGGTGACAGAAATTGAAGGACCGACATGGGAGACGATTAATAAGAATAAGTTGTAGTAAAAATAGCATCTCCCCAAAAAGATTTAAGAACATTCACAGTGAACATCAATGAACAAGCAACCATAAGAAGTTGGTAATTTTTTTGCTCAGCGAAACCATTTTGTTCAAGGATATACCCACACAAGTGGTTTGATAATGAATGTCGTTCTTATTAAAATAGGAACAAAATTCTCCATCTATGTATTCAGTTCCATTATCTCTCCGAAGAATTTTGATTTTAGAATCAAACTGGATAGTCAGTATTTTATGAAAAGTTCTAAACCAAGAGAAAATTTCAATTTCAGTATGGAGTAAGAAAAACCAAGTAAGACAAGAATAACAATCAATAAAAGTGACAAGCCAATGATAACCAAAAGTAGACACATCAAAGTGAATAATAATAAAGGAAGCAGTGCTTTTATTATTGGTAATAGAATAAGATGAATGGTGGTTATGCTTTGCAAATTTGTAAGCATCACAAAGAAAAGTACGCCTACTCCACTGCTTCACTAGACAAGGAAAAAGTTTCTCTAAGACACTAAATGAAGGATGTCCCACACATCTATGTCACTGATGTAATAGCTGAAAAGTCAAAACACCATTTGTGTGAAGGGTTTGACTCGTAAAATGAGATGAAACTTCAACATATAAAAAATATAGACCAACATGTGCTCTATCACTGCCAATCGTTTTCCCTTGACTCTAGTTTCTAAAAGATACAATAAGTAAGATAAAAAATCACTAAACAATTCAAGGAATTTGTAATTTAGCTAACAGATAATAAATTAGTAGAAAAATTAGAGACACAAAGAACGGATGAAAGGTTTAAGGTTGGAGACCAATTAGTTGAACATTTTCCGAAAATAAATATCCATCTGTCACTCTTACCGTATCTCTGCCTCAACATGTAGAACATGAAAAAAAAAGACTAAAAGAAAGTGTCATGTGGTTTGCGGCTCCAAAATCAAATATCCAAGGAACATATGAGGATAAAACACTAAATGCACAATCAGATATATCTATTTTAGTAAAGTTGAAAGAAGAAGAAGGATGATTAAATATGGTGGTAGAGGAGACATCAAGCTAAGTCATTAGACGCGAGTTGGCATCTCAGCTTAAGAAAAAGAAGTAGAAGTACTACCACCAGACTGAGATGGAGGCTCTAAAGATTTAAGTCTTGTGTTCATGGGATCGCACAACACTACCTTAGCCACGTGTAGGTCCTCCAGTCGGCTTTCAACAAAACTCCCTAGTATGACTATTCTTCCCACAATAATCACACTTTAAACTATCCTTAACACCAATGTCACTCTTATCAGTAGACTTGGACTAGGCTAATCAGATGTCACACTGTAGAATAACAGCCAAAGCAGACTGTTTTCGAGTAGGAGTATGAATCATAGCAATCCTCCTACTCTCCTCTTACTGAAAATAGGCATAGGCCTCTTGTAAGTTCGGGAACTTACTACGGCCAAGAATTTGAACCAGAACCTAATCATACTCAATATTAAGACCAAAAAAGAAAAGCGTATATACGTTCCTTCTTCACCATCTGCTGAAATTTTGTTGCATCAT